ACGTTCTAAATTAGAGGGAGTAATTGGTGGTCTGACACCTAAAGAGACAAAAAAGTTGATAAGAAATCTTTTGTTTTGCTTTATTCTTAATTCTAAGTCAATTTGTAGTTAAAAACAGCCTATCTGAACATAATGCGACTTATATTACAAATTTCACAGCTCAATTTTAACTGACTGTAATGTATGACTTTGATAGAAAATACTTGAAAATTTCATTTTGGACTACAGGAACATAAACTTTCAATATCAAGATCAGTTTTTGTTGATTTTTCCTTGTTTGTTCTACTACTTTAAAGACTTTCCACAATTTTTACAACCAGTCTAGTAAAAAATCCAAGGTATTGAAGAGTCAAGGAATATTGACCCCCCTTTTTTCACCTGGTGTCAGTAATGGGACTATTAACTGATCAAAAATGCGGTCATGGTCATTTAACTGTTATTATTTACTGTCAGTCAATAAAATTTAAGGTATAAAACTTTCATTTGAGATTATAAATGGGATGATTTTTGTGAGTTTATGCAGTGTTTAATTCAGGCTATGTTATCTGCCAAATACATGGTATGACGCAATGATATAAGGGGTAAAAATCAAATAATTTCATTAAATCGTCATGACAACAATTTTTTGGCGTAGTAAACAACCTATGTTTTGATGTCTAACACCACAGAAACAACTTACTGTCCATGTATAACAATTCATGACATTTTTTTATATGAAAGCATATTGTCAGGATGGGAAAAGCTAAAAATAGCACAAATTCAGGTTAAAGGCTCTGAATTTGCAATATCTGACTTTTTGCCCCAAAAAAGATTGAAATGTGGCTACTATCATTTCAATTGATCAGTTAAGACAAAAACATCAATCGTTTTCTGATTTTGGGGTTTCACCGCATTTCACTTAAAGGTGTCAGACCACCAATTAAATATCCCTATCTGTTCAACCAAATTTTGCAATTTTCACAGCTTTCTAAATATTTTACCTTAAGTTTAACTTCATAGAAACCAAGTATATCCTGAATTGTACATGTATACGCTTTCTGCATGCCAATTTTCAACATACATTTAAAGCCTTCTAAGAAAAAAACTGACCTTCAAAAAGAGGTACACCAAAAATAACCCCTGGTTTTCTGGAAATCTTAAAGTAGTATACTATGGAACGCATTAATCCTCAATTTTTAATGCAAACTCATAGACAAGTAAATTTTGACTCAAACTGGTCTAAATATATTTCTCTTTCACCAAAAGTTTCATTTCTGCAAATTTGTTGGTTAGTTTAAGTAAACAAGGACATCAAAAGCACTATTTTGTGTCAGAGAAGGGCTACTTTTACATACGTTCTAAATTAGAGGGAGTAATTGGTGGTCTGACACCTAAAAGTTCAGAAAGCTGAAACTTTAATTAAAGGATAGAAAGGTCAATATAAACATTTTTAAATATGATATATCGCCCACATTTATTACTAAACATAACATTCAAATATCGTACACTGAAGTGACACTAAATCTATTAAAATCAGGCTACATAAAGACCCGATATTGAAAATATTTTATTTTGAAATAAAATATTTAATACTGTTATAATGCGTTCGTATTTGGAAATATGACATTGCCTTGGACTTCTATGACTTAATTGTATATCGTTCCATTTGCTGCTATGTCGTTCGTAAAATACAGCATGGTTAATCATTTGAGTAGCATATGAAAAAATGTTTATTAAATGAACTTCTGTGGATAAAGATAGCTTGCAGTTGCAGTTAAAAGATATTAAATTTTAGTATATTTAAAAACAAAATGTATCACCTTGTACCTATCAGAATTAATCGAACTACCATTAGTCGATTCACTCAGTGTTTTCACACAATAGATTGTTATAACAACTCAAATATACGTTTTTTGTCATTTTGTTGACTTAGGTCGGTATTCTACCTATTGTCATAAAGAAGCAAGTCTGTACCATAAAGTGGTGCGGTCAATTTCCCTTTCATTTTTTTTCAATCGAGAGTGCAAAACCAGAAAAAAATCGTATTCAAATGAAAATATTTTACACATATCTTTATCAGCCGTGTAGATATTAAAGGAGATTTGACAATTTTATAAAACACAAACGTCTAAAAACATACAAGACCTCAATCTTTTCTCAAAATCAAGCAAAATATATATCATATGTTATGATCTCTTATGACGGGAAGGTACCAAACTGCCATATACATCTATCTCTTGGGTCCACAGTGCAGTGTTTGGCTTGATCCTCACTTCCCTATGTGAAAAAACAACATTCTACACAGTAAGGTTATATATAATCTTAAGCATCGCATATAACTCAGAACATTCGATAAAATTTTACATAGACGAACAGAACAATTGAGAAGTGACGGTCATATTCTTGTGACTTAAGGAACAGGCATTTTACAGAGAAAAAGGCTATGCCTTTCAATTTTGATTTACATTTTTTTACGATACGAAACTTAGTCATGAATGATGATGATTTTTTGGGGTAAATTTATGTCTCTATTATGTAATGTGTTCGGTACTTTTGGAAAATGTGTTCGGTGCTTTGAAAAGTTGTTCGGTGCTTTTGGAAAATGTGTTCGGTGCTTTGAAAATATTTTGGGGTGGTTTTGAAAAATGTGTTCGGTGGTATTTTCCAGTGGTCGATGGTGTTCGGTGGTATTTTCTAGTGGTCGGATGGTTTGTGATGTAAGGTAGTATTCGATGACAAAAGTACGTGCCAAAGAATGAACATCCATTTTGATAAATAATCAACTACTGTAATTCTTTGAAAAAAGTTCTGAGTGCTTTTTTCTAGAAAACTATATTATAAAGATTTAATTAGAATTACACTATGCCACCCTTTGAAACGTCTACCTAACCATATAGAAATGGTTAATGGCGAATTTTCAGAAATGGCTAACCTATGTTTGAACAGATAAATGCCCCCAAAACAGACATTTAAGGAGACAAAGATATTTAAAAATAATCTAGGTTTATGTCCATTTATCTATTTGTCCCAGTTGAAAGTTGATACGTCCTAAAGAACTTTGGGTTTGACTACGATTGTCTGTTTTTATAGTTTTTTTAATGTTAACTTTGTTTTAAACAAATGCTTTATAGAATTTGAGTGATTAGGTTCACTTTTATCATGGTTTATCGATGGAAAACGTTTTGGAAAATGGCTGCTGTTTTATTTTTATAACGGAATTAGGTTTTGTTTTAAGCACTCAAAGTATCTCAATTTTACACCTTACATTGGATTGTATTATAACACATGAAGGTGTTGTTTGCCCTTAATAAACAAAATCCTGATATTTATCAAATATAAGAGACTTTAATGAATTATTTTGATATAGCATATGGCATCTCGCCCACGTTGTTAGTTCAATTGTTCTTAAATAACCCATTCACGAAAATCTGGGAATAGTATACTGTCAATATATTATGTTCCAGCTGCAATGTTAATGTCATTTTCATATGTGTTAACTTTATGAGTTTCTTTTGGATGTAGATAGCTTTCTTTGGTAGATGAAAGAAAGAATTTCATAGTTTAAGAATATAGAAAAATGTAAAAACGTTATGTCCCTTGAAAAACAATTTTCGCGCGATTTCAATTAATGTTTTTACAGAAATAACTTATATATCTGGTCAGATGTTTATCAGTTTTTCCTTCTTTTCGATGAATTTAGTCGTTAAATTAACTAATTACTATTACAAGGTGTGTCCGATTCCCGCCTTGGTATCCGTTTCAGACCTATGTCAAATAGTTGTTGAAAGTCTCTGAATTTGAATATAAGGAGTCTTATTATGGAGCCTTTTATAACTTACTATGCACTATAGTTTTGATCGTTGTTGAAGGGCAGACTGTGAACTATAGTTGCTTTCATCCTCGCGCCTCTGGGGGATAGTTGTCTCATTTGTAATCACCTTATTTTTATATGTGTATCCTTACAATTCTTTGAATGAAAGGAGAAGGTGTGATAAAGCCACGTTTTTGTACCCTCGAATTTGAAAATCTAAAATCTTATCATTCTTAAAAAATTTGTCTGTAAGATATCAATATTTCTATTATTTAATTTTATCTCAAATATTTCGCATATTTAGTTATGGATTCATGCTTCTTGCATTTTATGCGAAACTGCAAATACTGTAAATTGCTTCACTTCAAGATCTCCTCATTATTATTTCGATATGAGACAAGGCCTGACTCAGAAAGATATTTTGTTGCAAGATATTTGTTTCAAAGATGCATGGTTACATATTTTTAGGGAAATATTTAGTTCTTTCTTGAATAAGAAAATCGTTTTTATTTTGGGAAGGGGTTGTAAGACTATCCCATTCCTATTGTTGTCAACAGGATAATTCGTTCATTTCAATACCTGGTACTTTACAAATTATGTAAAGGTTCGATTAGATTTTAAAATATAATATAATAATTTTTGCTGTAGGAATAGCAATATCCTCTTACAGTTTGTGTGAAGGGTTGCGTTTATCAAAACCTTGACTGAGGCTGATAATCGGGAAAATCTTAAATAAGAAACTCTTTTTTGGGAAGAGTGTGGTAATAATATCCGTTAGAAATTCTTGTAGCCGGAATAGTTCGTTCAATTAAAAGTCAATATCCATCTAAAATTTAGATGTAGGTTTCCATTCAAACGTTTGAAGGATTCTATAATGGGAAATATTTGAAATCCGGGACTAATTATATAAATTCCTTGTAAAAATATCACACTATTAATTTCATGTGACTTTTCACACAATATCCCCCTTTAAAATCAAAACAGATAAGAATCATAAATTCAGGCATACAGAAAAAAGCAGGACAGTATTGGCTGCTCTCCTGTATGTAGGGCGTGACGATTTGGGCTTACCCATGCACTAAAGCTTTTTAGCAATTTATCAGAAGTGTATATTTACACAGTATTGGCGAACTTAATTTAGATATAACTCAAGTTTTTTTATCGTCAACAAAGACTGCAATTGTCTAAAACCATATATTACATTTTTCAGACTGTAGGCGAACTCTATGATATGGCAGAGAAACTTATGTCTCCACGAATTGAGAGGTAACTTATAGATGCTTCACCCATTCAACAGCTTGTAGATCAAGATGGAATGTTGAAAATGGAAAAAATATGTTATTAAAATCCAGTCCTGTATGAAAAAATTAATACTGTTTGCTTATACGTTTACTTATTGTATTGAGATAAATAGTTTGTTAGTATATACACCATGTATTAAGATATAAACCATTTTATAATCAATTGCATGTATTTGCAGTCTTTGATTGATTGTAGCCTCAGGAATAATGATAAAACCGTTGGGTTTTTTTTTTAAATATAGAAACAAAAATATATTACATGAAAGTTTTTTATTTGGAAAGCATATATTTTAATACATTGGTAGTATAATACATGCATTTGCTTAGAAAAAAATCTGTTTTTTTTTATTTTAGAATTTACCAGAGAGTTGTATATTTGTTGTACAATCGAATTTCTCATTTATATTAATTTTACAACATGCGATTCGGCAGTTGGAAAGCTGACCCCGTTTTATTCTATTACTAAAAGCAACGACGGGGTATCATGAACGGCATTTCTATACTTTTTTGGTACTTTGTTGAACCAAAGTCATATCTGTTTCTTTCCCATATCTATATTTGAATAAATAGATATGTATGGTTTACAACGATAAGCAGGAACCTAATGACATAAAGCCAAAATACATCTAGCGGTCTTTAACAAAAGGCATACACGTATTACAAGATCTTTTAAAATTCGTCCTGGTTCAAAAAAGATAATAAATTCTATCTCATACTCAAAGATATACGACTTTCGACTTCGTGTCGGGTAATATACTTCCTTTAATCTGATAAAATCCATAATAATCTGAACTAACGGGAGTATGTTTACAATAATCTACTAGCCCTATAAATGTCTTGTTACTAGATAAGCAAATAAATCTGCAAGTTTTTCTTTGTTATGAAAAGTTATACTAAGCAGTTTAAAAAAAAATTAAATTTCTTGTTTTTTGTTGTTTGATTTTTTTTTTTTTTTTTTATCTAAATACTGCATGTCCATATCTGTGTAGCAAACAAAAAAAGTATGAAAGGTTCTTATCTAAATGTGTATCAACTTGTCTGATCTGCAATATTATTCCTTGTGAAATATTTTAAAAAGCAGATTGTACAAAAATATTATATTTGCTCTTGTTTTGTTTCAGTATTAAACGGTATGCGTTTTGCTCATTGTTGGCCATGCGATGACCTATAATTGGATACGACTACGTCATTTGGTTTCTGGTAGAGAGTTGTCTCATTAGCAATCATTCCACATCTTATAATCATACTGTTTTTTTTTTAATAAGACTGCATGTCGTTATTTTTGTAACAAAAAAAAAACAAAGTGCAAAGGGTTAAGTATCTAAATGTTAATCAACTGTCAAAGCATCAAGTCATATGTTAACAAAGTAACAAATTGCGAAAGGTTAAGTATCTAAATGTGTATCAACTGTCAAACCATCAAGTCATATGTTAATGTTGTTTTTTTTATTTGCGCAATTTGGTTATATGACAGATCTTTGAACGTGGCGTTTGGTTACTGTCTCATTTTCTTCATATCTAACAAACAAAACATTTTGTCGTTCAGGAAGTTTAGTATTTCCAGTTTTCAGTAAGTATAGTTGTGTTGGGTATATTCAAATGTTTTGCACTTGTGGCATGGATTGGTTGGTTTTTTTTAGATACAGGAATTTTACTGTGACAGAATACAGGTAATGAGACTCCCAAATCCAATCATAAAAACAAGCAACTCACAAACAAAAACAGTAAAACCAAACAAAAACAGCAAAACTAATCTAAACACTGCTTATAAAGAATACAAATAGAATTTAACAAAATAAACAAATAGTCCTTGTCCCTCACACACAAATTAGGTTATGTCGTCAATACTTTAAAGATAGAGACACGGCTCAATTAAAAAAAATAAATGGCACATGGCCCGGACGGTCATCTGATATTATGCCATTACGTGGCGTCCACTATAGACATCTGTCTACTGTTGAAACCTGTATATGTTGACTTCTTGGTCTCATTGACATATTCCTAACAAGAAGCTTACTGAATTGTTCATGACTTACGATCAATCTTAGTCGTAAGTATTTTTGTGAAACCGACTCCAGATTTATTTCTGTATTAAACCCCAGTTGAATCCATTGGATCCTCAAAATGCCAGCACAATTTATCCAATATACCAGAAAGTATACTATGCGGTATTGGTTTTGCGTCATTTGGTCTCTTGTTAAAAGCTGTTTCATCGGCAATAAAAAAACATCTTCTTATTTTTATAAAGAATGCAAAGAATGCAAATACAAAATGCATTAAAATCTGATAAAAAATGAGCTTGTACAGAATCAATGTAAACGCTGTTTTAGCTTCCTTCTGATCCTTGTCCTTGAACGGTCTATAATTCAAACAGTTTGTGACCAGTCACTCATTTTTGTTATAATAACTTAATGTAATAAATGTGGATATTTTTGTGTGATTAGTGATTAGTGAAGGTAATCAACACATACTAGCCTGGGATCCTGGCTCACTGCTCGACAGAACACTAAGTCTACCTATCGACGAAGTATAAGTTTGGGTCAGGATGCCAGGCTATCAACACATACAAGTAAGCTTGGTATTCAAACAAAAAAGGTTTCCTTAGAAAAAAAATAAAGATATATTAGTTGCAAAAAATGTTAGATAAACTTTTCAATTTGTTTGTAATAATATTGAAGCCAGTTGAGAAATTTAAGAAATCTTCACGGGAAATTTTCCGTTCAGTTTATTTCATTTGAAAGGGTTAAAAATTATAGATCTAATTCATTGCAAAATGTGGCGTCCTTGGGGATCAAACCCCCGTTTTAACAGCGTTTGTCTCCTTTCGTCTATTGCCGAACATTCAAAACATAATGCAACTCGTCGTCAATTTCACCGGAATTACTTAAAGGACAAATACAATTTTCTCTGTCAATATTTTGCCATCTACCAATTTCAATAGGATTTTTCTGTTCAAAGTTCTAAATCTACAAAAGAAGCATTATTTTTGTTATCTTGAATATCAAAGTAGGCTTCGAAATTTAGACTGGTTTTGAATAGTCTATAATCTTTTTTTCCTAAATTTCTTGAAACTCGAGTCCTGATAGAGTTTAACATTATTCATAGACAGATTACGTATGCAAATTTTATTTAAAAAAATGTATTTTGCCATTAAAACTCATTCTTGTCCAATAATACATTTCTTGAATGAGTGAAATTCTGAAATAATTATTTTTTAAAGCTTTTATCTTTATTGCGTCAGCCTATTTGTGAAAAAAAATAAATAAATAAAATACAATATTCAGTATACACGAGACATATAATACAATAATGTATTATATTTTTCTGAGTACCCAATGTATTTATTTATTTAGTTGATGTTGGAAAGAGGGGAAATCACAAAGAAAACAAAACCGGACTTGTGATAAACAAATAGACAACTATAAAAAAATATTAATTGCTATTTTATTTAGTTATAAAATGCAGAACGTACAATTACAAAATTGATTTAGATGTCCTTATTACACATAAACTATTATAATGTATTGAATGGGAGTTTTTATTTTTTTCTCCTTAATCGTAAAAATTTTCTACGCATTAAGTAAATTTAATAACATGAAACATTCCAAAACAACTTAAAAACATCGTTTAACATATATAATTCAATTTTATTAAAAACACTGTTCTTATAACTTGATATTCATAAGCAATAAGGATAATCCAATCAATTTTGTTGATTGGATTATTCACAACTGAGTAGTTATGTAATCAGTGACACGTGCCCTAATTATTTTATAAATATAATAAATATCTATTTAAGTTTTTTCAAAATCTATCAAAATTTACCACAAGAATAAGTAGCGTGCAACGAATATATACATTCATCCTGTGTGCACATACGATGACTATAAAGAGTCCTCAGTGCACTTTGTAAGTCCTGGGTGCACTCAGAAGGTCCTGAGCAGTGTTTAGACGTACCCGCAAAAAATGCCGTTTTTATAAGCCCGTCAATTTTTGACGGGACGTATTATGGTATACAAATGTCCGGTGTCCCTCCGTCCATCCTACCGTCTGTCTGTCCGGCGTAAACATGTCGCACCGTAGCTTGAGAATGACTTATCCAAATTTCTTGAAACTTAACATAGTTGTTTCTTATGATGGTCAAACGATCTGTATACTTTTTGGTGAAAATAAGATTAAAACTTTTTGAGTTACGGGACTTAGTAACTAAAACAGGTGTGTGTTTTTTTTTTCACATGTTGCGCCGTATCTCAAAAACAATTTATGATTATTGCTTAAAACTTTACACACTTCTTAGCTATATTAATCTTAAGATCTGTATACTTTTTGGTGATGATTCAAAATTTTATTTTAGAGAAATTGAGTATTTTGTTAAAAAAAGGGGGAGGGGTTTTTCACATGTCGCGCCGTATCTCAAAAACGATTTATGATTATTGCTTAAAACTTTACACACTTCTTAGATATATTAACCTTAGGATCTGTATACTTTTTGGTGATGATTCAAAATTTATTTTTGAGTTATTGAGTATTTTGTAAAAAAGGGGGAGGGGTTTTTCACATGTCGCGCCGTATCTCAAAAACGATTTATGATTATTGCTTAAAATTTTACACACTTCTTAGTTATATTAATCTAAAGATCTGTATATTTTTTGGTTTTGATTCAAAATTTATTTTTGAGATATTGATTTTTTTTTTAAAGGGGGGTTTTCACATGTCGCGCCGTATCTCAAAAACGATTTATGATTATTGCTTAAAATTTTACACACTTCTTAGTTTTATTAATCTAAAGATCTGTATACTTTTGGTTTTGATTCAAAATTTTATTTTAGAGATATTGAGTTTTTTGTAAAAAAAAAAGGGGTTTTCGCATGTCACGCCGTATGTCAGAAACTATTTATGCTCATTGCATAAAAATTCACACACAAGACGACGGGCGTATCATGCGCTCATGGCGCAGCTGTTTATTTACTAAAATAATGAAATTTTAATATTATGAATTTTTTTCAAAGAATTGTTTCACAAATCAGGAGCATACTTTTCTAAAGAAGATATTCCACGAGGTTGTTGAGTAACATGTTTGTACACGTCCGTCAGTTTGTCACTCCGTCAGTTCGTCCGTCATTCCGTCATCACCAGGATTGCGCCTTTGCTTTTGTCTAATTCTTTTCAAATTTGGATGACGCTTTCCTTTCAGCAAAACCTCAGATTAGTTCGATAATTGGGGTATCATATCTGGATCTTGCAAAAATTTCAATATTAATATTTCTCGCCAAGAAAGCTCATACATTTTGATCAAATCCTCCAAAAATTATTTCAAGAGTTTATCTATGAAATTCTTGATGGATATCGGGGGGGGGGGGGGGGGGGGGAATCTTTAATAAGGAACCGGTTTTTTTTTAGGGGATTGTAAAACTATCCCATAGTTATTGTTGTCAATCTGTTTTTTTAATGTGGGATCAGAATAGTATATCATAAAAATGTAACTTTTTTGTAGAGCACACATTTTAGTAACATTAGCAGTAAAAGAAGAAAAACAAAGGATATGGGGTATCCATCCATGACACAGTTCATGCACAGCAAAATAAAAAAAAAAAAAAAAAAAAAAAAAAAAAAAAAAAAAAAAACCATGATGGGGCACACATATAAGAGAAGTTATCTCAAGAATAAATACACCATAACTTTAAAAATACAGAAGAGCATACATATCAAGCACGGGGAAACTTTCTACGGCCTCCACACAGCACGAGAAACAAACTCCGTTAATATAATAGAAAAACAAAGGATATGGGGTATCCATAGAAAATGAAAGGATATGGAGTAAATGTACATGGGACAAAATCACACACAATACATAGAAAACATAGAAAATCATCAATGAACAGGGCGTTTATTCCTGTTCTTCATCTTGACATCCATGATACAAAATCAGTTCATGCACAGCAAAAAAAAAAAAAAAAAAAAAACATGACATGCATGCCTTTGCTTAGGGAAGTTCATATGTTTTATGCTAAAGAATATACCAGAAAGTAGTAAATTTGGGTTTACAATTGAATCACTCATTCATATGGATTTTACAACAGCAATTCGGCACATAGAAAGCTGACATCGTTTACTCTATTTCCAAAAGCAATGAGGAGGTATTATGA